ATTTGTATATTATAAAGCTCATCTGTTCATTATAAAAGCTCTTCACTTTTAGATATTTGCCATGTATCTAAGAGTGAATACCTTCCCCCAAATAAGTCCTTATTTTTTTAATAAGGATGTATTGGAAGCAATTTCATCAATAATGGAAGACCCAATTACTGGTCTTCTGGATTAAGGCATACTTTTATTGCATGATTTTAATGCTAGAGTGGGAAGTTCAAACATTGCCAATGAAATCTCAGACTAATTAAATGACTATAGCCTAAGGGGAAAGGCAACCAAGAATGTACTATTAATCTTACCAAGAATTGCCTCTATATGTGATGAACTGATGAGTACATATACCTTATTTCAAAAGACAACATGGAAAGAGTTTGTTTTCCAAAGATCAGTTTACCATCTGAATAAAAAAGGAAGGATGACAAGCTTTTTGTGGAAGGTATGGTCATATTTAAAAATACAGTTGTGTATCGAACCAAATAAATTGCAGTCAGACTTCATTCAGATGTTTTCTGGTGGCACAAAAGTAATAGTGACAGTAACCACCACTGCTTGATGAGCAGTCACTATTTACCAGGCAGTTTTCTGTGCTTGTCTTATCCTCAGTTTATATATTAGGAAATGGAGGCACAAAGCGATTCAATAACTCAAGAGATAGTTGGCAGAGTAGGGAATGTTTTACAACTTCTATTTTTAATGGTTCACTCTGAACTACTGGTCCAGACACTTTTATTCTCTATTATCCTAATCGCTTGCCTGCAGGGAACCAATGACAGTTCTCACTGTAGGGCAGGTGCAGTGAGTCTGAATCCAAACAGTCCAGGACAGCCTTTCACTTGGAGGCTTTCACCCTGGAAGGCTGGGTAATATTTTCTCCATGTTTTAGCAATCTGTTTGGTGGCAGCACCTCTCCACTTGGACAGTAGCTCTTCCCTGGGCTTCTTGCCACATTTTCATGCTCACAGAAATGGTAGTACAGCTTCTTTAAATCTTTCATCTTGGTGTATTTATGCTTTTCATGATACTATTTTTCTGGAAGGAGAGGAGTGCTGAATGTTTCTGAGGATTGTTAGATCTGAAAAATATGACCTGAAATTTCCCTTTGTGCTGTATGAGGAAGGCTTCCAGGATCAAGTCAAGTCAGTCCATCACTTGAGGAGATGGAATCTTTGAAAGTGCTACATCATCTTTAAAATATGTTATATTTCAATAGTATTCATTTGTGAGGCCTTAATTTTAAGTAGGGGAAAATGGGCATATGACATTGATGATATTTTTATTATACTGTCTTGAGAATAAATTATATCAGCAAGATCCTGTTTTGGGGGAGGTAGAGATTAAGACAGGTTCTTGTTATGTAGTCCAGGCTGGCCTTGACAATGATCCTCCTGCCTTGGCCTCCCAACAGGCATGTCCTACCCTGCTAAGATCCTGTTTTCAGCAACCTTGATAATTGTATTGTTTGCTTCATGAAGTTTGTGTATGTCAAGTTCATTTTTGTGAAGTTCATATTTGTCCACATCTCAGAGGACATGGTCTCTAAAAATAGAAATCACAGATTAAAAAAGAAAGCTTTGCTGCTAAAGTTTGGGAAGAGATTTATTCCTTGGTATTTGCAACTCACCTGAGCTGGCCTGGAAATCATTAAGCAGTCATATGCAGATCAAATTACTTCTGTTAATACTCAAAATGGGACACACAAATGCTTAAGTCTGGACAAGGTCCATCCCATGACAATTAGCACATTGTGTTCTCAGACCACTCTCAAGACTATTTCTTAAAATTAGCCATAGCCAATACCATGTCAGCTACAGATGAAAATGTGGAAAATCATCATATTTTGGAGTGACTTCAATGGGATTGAGTTACTGCAGTTTTGAGTTTGATAAATTACTAACTTTATGTTACTCCAAGCAGGCCTCTACTCTACACTTAGAAGAAGCCTGAGAAAGTATTACTTTTGTACCTGGTGATGCTAGAAATGGAAAGTGAATCTTCTCATTCTAAAGGCTGTAAACTTTTGTACACATTGTTAGCCTACACCCAAATCGATGAGAATAGGACTAGAGAAAGGGATTAAATGCGACAGCTTCTGGTTCTTCACATGATGCAGATATTTTATTCCGAGTGTTTTGCTGGAATTAACACTGCTGCCCCCAATTGACATAATAATCCCTCCCACAGCTGGTAACTTTGACTTTCTGTCAAAACCTTCTGACACGTAAGAATGCGTGGGGCCCAGAGAAGGTCTGTATCACAATCCCCTTTCTCCTGGAGGCCCAGTCCAGTCTGCTCACTTCCAAGTCTTTGTAAACACCTGCCTGATTTTAGGCTGTCCTCTTCACCCTTAGTCTCTCTTCCATAACTATTTCCTGTTTGCTACTTCCAGAAATAAATATGTATATCTTTCTGAACTTTAAAGTCTCTGAATCAAAATTTACAGCCTACAACTTCACCTCCCTTTTTGCTTTTAGTTTCACTGTGAATTACATCCAGTAGTGCTGGGTAGTAAAGTTGCCCAACATCAGTTGGTGCTTCTAATTTGGAACTTGTATTTCTTTAAAGTGAATTAATTGTTGGCTCTATTAATCCTTAAAAATTCATGACTTCTGAAAGTTCAGTTTACTCAGAATGAATAGCAGTGTATTTATTTCTTGTGAGACTGAGACGTGACTTCTCGGTGAGCATCAGGTGAGCTCCATTTAGATGACATACCTTATATCTCAGATGATTTGTTCACTCTCAACTTCCCTAGAATTTATTGCTACAGGTTGATGTGAAGGCTTTCAGTTTGGGCTCTAATATAATTTCCTGAATGGCAATTAATAAATGAAAGGTGATTACTATGTTTGACAGAAGATCTGGGCTTTCTCAGTTTTCTTCTTTCTATTTGCACCAAACTCCATGTCAGACATCCCTAGGGGTTGGTGGTATAAAGTATTTTCTGTAAGCTCCAAACCTTTTAATATTTCTTTGATACCCCCAAACCTTTATGTTGCTTTTTGTTTTCTTGTCAGAAATGATCTTATTCAATTTCTGTTTCTTTCTTCCTTATGAATATAAGAAACATGCCTCTTTCTGGATTGAATAGTAACATATCCTCAATATTTATGCATGCAAGTAGCACCTGCAACTTGTCCCTGAAATTTCTTGCATTTTTGTTCTTCCTTAGTCTCATCTCTTGTCACATTTACTGAATATACACTGTTACCTATGAAATGTAGTATTTATTGTCATTGTTTAAAATGCAAAGTTGCCTCCAGTAAATTAATGATGCATCCATGAAGCAATATCCAGTTTTTGCAGTTTACTTGCTTTACTAGGCTTCAGGGCTAATATGGACTAGTATCTTTATTTCAGACCTGAGGAAAATGCAGACTAGTTTAAGTAACTTGACCATAACCAAATAGAGAGCAGAGACCAAATTTTGCTTCATGTAGTAAAGTATGTGGTACAAAGCAGAAGTGCTCTGATCAGTTTCCAGTTGGATATTTATTAAATGTGTAACTTACACAAGTCATTTCAGTTTTCTCATCTGCAAAATACTAATAGTAGTGCCAGTAGGCCAACCATAAGGATTATAATGATTATATAAGCAAAGCACTTAGACTAATGGTTGGCACAGACTACTCAGCTATTAGCATTATTGTTATTTTGGCCATTTTTAACATTTCAGAACCGCTGGAAGAGCATATATTGCTGTTTAACTTTATATAGCTGCATATATACATTAAGCCTTTATTGTGCTTTTTGGATATTCCTGTGTTACCTAATACTATGTTAGGCAATTAGTAGTACTGTTCATTGTGACAGTGGTAGTAGGAGCAAAATTCATGACGATTATAATGGAAGGCTTGCTTCCATTGTGCGAGGCATCAAAGTAGAACTTTAGGAACATAATCCTTACTATATGCTCAATCTATATGGATTAAAAATTGCCCAGTAGTTTTATTTCCAGAAATGCAAGTGTGTTCTTGATGACAGTAATCTCCCTTGTACCTAGAGGAGAGCAAGTGCTTCGGCCCTGGTGGAACAGCTTCAAATGTAAAAATAAGAGCCTTGATGAATTCCTCCCATCTTTAAAATAATTCGTATGCTGCTAATACTTAAGTAGCCTAATCTTGTTATTAATAGTTGTGAGGCTGGCTCAAGTGGGGATGGGGCTTAAGAAACAGAGTGGAGGGGAGCAGGTACAGGTAAAACAAACCCTACAAACAGATTAGTAAAACTCTCCTATGTTTTACTTTTTGTTATGTAACTTTATATTTTTTTTTAAAAAACTGTCCCTTTTCTAGGTCACATGTAGAAATTCATTCAGAACAATAGCATAGGCACAAAAGGGTTTTTATTTCATTCCTTTTTATTTACATACAGATTAAATAAATTGTATTTATAATTCACTAATAATCACTAGGGTAAACTGTTTAGTCACAGAAATTATGATTGCTAATGTTTCTTGATTTCCAGGTATAATATGTATCTTAACAATCGTATAAACAACCATGGTAATAAGAAAAGATACAATATGTGGGTATACCCAGGATGGGTACTAAGAGAGAAGCCTTATGCTAGGTGTTCTTTGTGTGTGTGTGTGTGTGTGTGTGTGTGTGTTACTGTGTGCACATGTATATATACATGTATACTCTCATATATACAATATCTGTACATAGTGATGGCCTTTCAAATTCACATATGTGAGTGTATGTATATATATATATGTGCATGCATATATATTTCTCTGATAAGATATATTTAAATATTCTCAGCTCAAATCTTATCATAGCTTCCAAAAAAGAAACAAACCAGAGCTCAGAAAAGTGAAACCACTTGCACAAGGTCACAAAGAGTGGCAAAGCTGGAATGCAGCCCCCAGCTCCTACTCATTTAACACAGCCTTCTGAAAAATACCCAAATAGAAGTATTCTTAGAATGACAAGTATTTCCATTGTACCACACTGCTCCATTATGGGAGGGGTGACCTCTTGATATTTGTTTTCCAGAATCTCCAGGCAAAGATTTTGGTCCAACCCTGGGATTGAAAAAGTCCAGTTCCTTGGAGAGTTTGCAGACTGCTGTGGCTGAAGTCAGAAAGAATGAACGCCCCTTCCACAGACCCTGGCCACATGTGATCCGAGGCCGAGGCTGTAATGAGAGCTTCAGGGCGGCCATTGACAAATCCTACGATGGACCAGAAGAGCTCGATGCGGGTGAGGCAGTGTGCTCCCTGAAGTGGCTTCTCCATCTCCTTATTATCTGTGAAGCACAGGCAAGCATGTGTGCTTAACTACAGAGAAAAATGATTTAAAGATCACAATTATATTTTTGATATTAAAAGTAATTCATTTTCTTGATATGTTTTGCCCTTTGGCTTAATGAACATGGAATTGGAGAACACAATATGCAATTTATTTTACAGTGCAAATGCTAAAGAAATGTTCTCCTTAGCTTTCCTACAAGGACCAACTGTCATTTACCCTTAGGGTACTAGCACTAAGTATGCATTTCTTGACATTTTTATATGAGTCATTAAAAGCAGCATCAACCAGAGGACTGACTGCATTAATTGAGTAGAAGCAGTTGGGTTATATTTGTACTCAAAAACTCCTGGAAAGAAAGTAGTGCTGTTTGTTTTCCAGCATGTGGGCTTTCTGAGCTGATCAAGGTTAGCAAGCCAACTTTTGGAGAGATTAGTGCTTTATACCATTCAGGCCCTTCATAGGACCAGCTAAGCAACCAATGGGTCCACACCCAGCACCATCCTTACATGCAGTCCTGTCTCCATAGGGTATAAGTAGCCACATTCACGGTTAGAACTCCACAATACTTCTGTTCTTCTGGATTTTGCATCCTGACTTTCATTTATATACTAACCATAAGTGCCTCTGACTATGCATATTGATTTTTTTCTTTCTATACAGATGGACTGTCTGATAAGAGCTCTCACTCAGGCCAAGGGGCTCTGAATTGTGAATCTGCCCCTCAGGGGAACTCTGAGCTAGAGGACATGGAAAACAAAACCAGGAAAGCAAAAAAAACAAAAGAGAAGGAGAAGAAAAAAGAAAAGGGCAAGTTGAAAATCAAGGAGAAAAAGCAGAAAGAGGAAAATGAAGACCCAGAAAGAAAAATAAAGAGGAAAGGATTTGGTGCCATGCTAAGGTATCGACCTGCTTTGAAGGCCAAGTTGGTTTTGTTTCTCCTTTTACTTCTCTTGGTGAAATCATTGCTTTGTGTGTATTCAGAAACCGTGAATGCTTTCCCTCATTTTTGGCTAAATGCATAAAAAAAAATCAAAAGAATAAAGGTGTGGGTTCCTTTTCCATAGAGGCAGAAGGAGGCTTCTTGGGTGGCTTACTGGGATGTGAAGAAATTGTCATAAGTTCACTGTCAGAGAAGGGGCCTTTCTTAGGAGGGTACTAAGCCTGAAGCCCTTTGTACCAAAGTGCTCCCTGTATGACCATCTGCACGGGAAAGCCCAGAGAAGCCAGGGAGGCCTCAGGTGTTCCCTGTAGAACCTCCCTGAACTAGAGAATTCAGGGTCAATGAACCTCATTCTGCTGAGACTCCAGGTGTGTGGGTGACCAGGTCACCTGTAGAGGCAGCGCAATGGAAATGACTGGGTTTGGGTCCAGATAACCCTGCTCTGAGCCCTGGAGCCACCACACGTGAGCCCTGTGGCTCACCACACATTGCTTTGCTTCCACAAGCCTCCTTTTTCTCAGTTTCAACATGAGGCTGGCATTTTTGCCCTACCACCCCAGTGCAGTTGTGAAGCAAGAGTCATTTTCAACAGCTTCATTGGCTGGGCAGGCTTAGCAAGGAAGTCAGAAAAGAGCTATATTTCTCCTCCTCTAGCTATCTTCAAAAATGTTCATTTGAGGCTGTCTTCACCTCATCCTAATATGTTGGGCTTCTTTCTGATAGCTTTCTGGTCACATTGGGTAATAAAACATTGTCTTTGTCAGGGACTCCAACAACCAATCCAACGTTAATCTAAATTTTGCTCCTCCCTTTCCCTCAAACTTCAAGCCCAAAGGGTTCCCTGCAGTGTGGTGGGAGAAGGGCTCTGCTATCTCCTATTTCTCAGTCTCTGGAACCAGGGAAAGAGAAGGACAAGGACAATAGTAAATGGGGAGAGTTTTATTTAAATGCTGAATCTGGGATAACCAGTCATCAGGGACCCATCCTGGACCACTTCCGTGGATTATTAAGGGAGAGTTTTACTATATCACTGTTAATATAGGAAATTCATTTACTGATTTCCTCAGATCTCTTCCCCCTGGCTGCTGTCTTCAGAAAGCACACCCTGGGGTCTCCTGACACCAGCTGTAGGCTTCGTGGGCGTGGAAAGTTTGACTTGGCCTCAAAACCTCACTGCAGTGGCAGCTTCTTGGTACATGGAAATCTCCAATTTCTCACCCTCCAAGTGAGCAAAAGATGCTGTTCCTGTTCCTTTCTGCTCACCCTACCACAAGAATGTTCCAGTCTGCCTGGAATTTTCAGGCTTCTCCAGAACAAGTTGCACTCTGGTTTGGGGCCTTCCCATCTCAGGGAATAGGTCTGGCACTCCCAAGAATGTGCTCATGCAGGGGGAAAGGGAGAGGACCAGTAAGTGTCTACAAATCACAAAGTAATGGTAGGAAGAAGAATGACAGTTTCCTCTCATAATTACCTCCAGATTCTCTTAGGGATTTTCTTCTAGCCCCTGCACTTATTTTACTAGGAGTATAAAGTATACGTCCCCCATTCTATAACTTTCGTTACTTCTGTAATTTTCTATTAAATCAGTTAATTTCTATACTTCTCTTCTATGAACTGAGGAGAATGATGGAATATGGTAAGTGGTGACCTAGCTTGGCCACCCCTTGTGAAGCCCTTAGGAAACATCTCTGTTTAAGATGCTAGATGGTCTATGATTATGATACCAGTTATTCTCAGTTTGGGATTTCCAACTGGGATTTTCCAACAAAAAGGAAAATTTCATTCTTTCAAGCATGTGTAAAGATCTTATAAACTGCAAAGTGACTTTTGCAGGGAAGAAATAGCCTTAACAGCTCTGATCCTTCCCATTTCATGCTCAGAGCATGCCATGCCAATATCCACCTGCTCACAATCTTAGAAGTAATATATCTTTGACACTGCATATGTTAAGACACACTCTCATCCTACTGTCATCTGGGCTGAAGTGAGAGGATCCAGACAGGCTTGATATCCTAATACTCTATCCTCTGACTACCAAATAACAAATTTTCAACAAATTGAGTTTTCAAGATCAAATTGACTTTTATTACTGATTCATGAATTGGCAGCATTGAACCTACAGAACAGAAAGGTACTTCGATGAGCTGAGCAGAGGATGTGGGCTTTACAGGCAGAAAAGGGCTGAAAAAGGCAGAAACAAGGAGCAAAAATTGAAATTTAAAGTTATTCTCCTTACAAGGTTAAAGCAGGTAGGACTTCCTCACCAGGGTGGCATAGGGTGACTGGACTTGTTTTTGATGGTTTGCTCTGAATCTCCTGTTTTGGGAAAACTAGTTCACTTTGCTCATGGGGTATACAGCAAGAGCAAATTTGTTCAGGTTTGATCTGGACTGTTTTGTCCTAGTGCAAGTGCTCAGTCCAAAACAATGACTTCCATGTTACTCAACGTGACCTACAGCTTAGTAAATGCTCGTGGAACATATTCTCAATAGATGCTGCCTTATGTTTCCTGGTGGTCCCTCTAGCCTCTCACTTTCTTTTTACTACCTTGAGTTTTAAACTTCTCTTTATTCTGAGTAGTCACTGATTGTCTGAAGTGATGGGCTGTGACTTAATCACCTTGATAATAATTATGAATACGGTTCCAATATATTTAGATGAGAATTTAAAAATGATGGTAGTACAGTCTCTGTATGTAGATCTCCAAGTTCAATCCTGGCTCTCCTACTTCCAATGTAGGTAACCATGGGCAAGTTATTTAACCTCTATGCCTTGGTTTCCTCATCTGAAAAAACTGGAAATAATAATAGAATCCACCATTAGTGTTAGAATTATATTTTTAATTATATGTAACATTCTTAGAATTATGCTTGGCAAGTATTCAATAGTAGACATGATAGTGATCCCCTAAAGATATCCATGTCCAATCCCCAGAACCTGGATATATGTTATGTTATGTGGCAAAAGACAATTAAGTTTGCAGATGGAATTAAGGTAGTTGATCAGCTAACTGTGAGATAAGGTGATTACCCCATATTTCTTCAATAGGCCCAGTATAATCACAATCAGTGGGCCTTAAATTTGGAAGAGGGAGAAATGACTCAGGAAGTAAAGTGCAGAGAAATACGGTGCTACTGGCATTAAAGAGAGAAGGAAGCAACCACTGAGCCAAGGAATGTGGGCAGCATCTAGAAACTGGAAAGGGCAAAGAAAGGAATTTTCTCTGGCCAAACTTAATTTTAGCCCATTTGAGTGGTCAAGACCACTAAATTTATGGCAATTTATTGCAGCACAGGTGGGAAACTAATATAGTTATTGTCATAATTTTATCAATATTTTTACAATATCATAGTAATTTAAGTAAGGAAACGTTTTTTTAAGGTATTACAGGAAGAAACTATAAAAATAATTTAACTAAAATGTAGTCTATAAGTGTAAAAATTGTTAGAGATTTACATAGCCCATATCGTAGAATATTACTAAATTAAGCCTTTACTTTATATTTTACATAACTTGATTTGACAGGTTCCTGTTTCATTGCTCAAAATACAGTACCAGTTCTTCCCTTTTGTTGCCAATATCCTGTTTATTTTCATATTGTAGAAATCACAGATCTTAAATCATTTAGACATCTAGAACCTTGAGCTTTGTTTTCCTCTCCTGGTTTAGCAAAATGAAGAACTGAAAGGAGGTGTTTGATTTTATCTTTGGTATAAAAATAGCAACTGCTTTTTTCTGCATCTGAATTGTGAGCATATTGGAGTTGCTGCTTCATCTGCATTTTCAACAACAAAGAACACAAAAGCTGTTACCATTATCCAACAGATTCTGCTTTAATTCTCATCTGTTGTTCAGATGCTATTGACTTAGTTTCTTTCTTATTTAAAAAAGATTGATTGCTCTCAGGTTCTCTTGGAGTTAGATGTGGTTTAAATATGCATTATCTTTCCAATTGTCTGCATTTCTGTGACATTCTCCTGAAGGTGGGGTTTAGATACAGGCTCTGCAGGTACACCCTGTAAAATAGCACCCGAGAAGGGAAAAGTGACAATTTATCCCCTCCCACTCCTCACCAAATCCTGAACCATCAAAGAGTGAATGTGTTAGCAGTGGCCTTGTTCTCACTTCTGAAAGCTTGAGTGTGTATTTCTGATATTAGCTGGTTTGTTCATGTGGAGGACACAAACTAGTATAGTTTAGCTTACTTGTTAGTTTAACCTACTTCTATCCTATTTAAAAAACTATGGGGGATCTCTTACATTCATACCTTTCTGCATTTTGTGTATCTAGTTCAAATATTGTTGTATTTTGCTGACTTCAGATTATCTTTCACCTGGTTTTTATGTCACCATAGGTAATTGTGGAAAAATATTGTGGGACTCGAAAACCTAACCCTGATGGCGGGTTCCTGGCTGCTGAATGAGTACTTATGTGAGCTGAGTGCTTAAATTGTTCAATGAGGTGTTTGACTTCCTTGGGGGTCATACTATTCCTGACCCTGGCCTGAAGAAATGGCATGTGAAATGGCTCCTGCAGCCAAAGGGCAGTGCTCAGTTTTTTTCAAAGACAGACTCATGGCTGCCAGCCCCAGGCCACTTTCCTGGGGCAGAGCAGATGTTTTCCAGTCACTGAAGAGAAATATCCTTTGGCTAAAAATTCCTGTCTGTCTGGAAAAACCCAGAAATCAGTCCCTGATCCTTTGGTATTTACTAACTTTGTCAAGCCTTCTGCTCTTTAAACAAAAACAGCTACTATCGGCTCCTCTTGAGAGCATAGGCCACTCACTGGACACTAAATGGAAAGGCTTGAAGTGGTTTAAGTTCTCTTTTCTCTTCCTTTATAGGATTTGTTCCTAACAAGAATTACACCCAGTAAGCTCCTTCTTAATAGAATAAAAAGGGGTAAAACCTGCCAATGAGAATGTCATCCCTGTTTTTAAGATTTGTTTCCCTATGTTC